CTACTGTATTTTCCTAAGCGTTTTTTAACAACAAATTCTGATACTTCTTAATAGGCAGACGCGTTCCCGACAAGGGCGTAGAATAAGGTTTTACATGCAGCGGTAAGATAACAACACATCATGGTTATTATAAGTAGGCCCTTAAAGAAACGTTAATCAACTTAGAGCCTAATCTACGTTTAACCATCCTGGAATCATCGTTTAAGTATCAAATAAAAATACCGCCGTCAACAACAACAGCAGCAAGGCGTCGTGCGACGCATCGTTATATCCAAAGGCTATAACCATAACAGGCACAGATTGGAGTGTCTAATGACTAATTCTGAATCAGCACAAAATGAACACACTTTAATACATAAGAAAATGCTACAGCTTGAATATTTTTATTAAATATTCAAACTGTAGCACTTTTAATTTTCTTTCAAAGGAGCGAGTTTGGTATGCAAAATGGTTAATAGTCAGTGTATTACAAGCTTAACCAGGCAGTACAAGCGGGTATTTGATGCAAGCTGGACAGATATTCTTTGCATTGTTGCAATCTAGGTTTCAGAAACGGCCCGTGAAATCGAGCACGACGCTAAACTAAAAATATTATTATATTATTTAGCGTTTTTAGACTGAAGTGCAGGTGGAAGATTAAGGTACAGTGATCGCCAACAACAATAAAGAAACTTTGCCAAGATCACTAGCGTAATCGTTTATGAGCATGGTAAGTATGATGCTAGGGTCTCAGTCTTTTGTACCGGTAGAAATATTTACACGGCTTACTGGGAACTCAGCATTTTGTAGCAAATATAACGCAGATTTATGAAATTTAAGATGTCGATCTAGGCACAAGGGAGACTCAGAGGATGTAGACTAATTATCCCGCCGAAGCGAAGCGAAGGCGGGAAGGCAAAAATCTAGAGTAAAACCTAAATTACCGCCGCGTAGCGGCGGCGCTCGGCTAGTGTGGACTCCAATCCTGGAGCGACATCGTCGATGGGTACGTCTCGTTCTCGAACCCCAGCGACAACAGTAGCGAAACTGAATATTCGGCAACTTGACTAGTCGAAACCGAGTTGACTGGGTATTGAAGTTCCTGCGCAAGCGCAGGCCAGTCGGCTTTTTTCTTGGGGATGGGCTTGAACAGCTGCATCCACTCATCATTCTGCATCAGCGCTTGTACGCGGTCACAAAAGCGCTTGGCGGCTGGTGTATCACCGTTGATAGGTGGGCGAGGTGCCTTCAGCAGTGCTGAATGCTTTGCACTTGCCACTGACCCCGCCAGACTTGGCAGGCCTAGCACCAACCTTCTCGCCTGAGGATGGCAAAGCCGATTCGAATGGGTTGTTGCTCGGCAGCAGGTGGGAATTCCGGTAGGTCATCCGGAAGTCGTCGTAAAAGATCGATCAATGGCAGAGATCATAGAACGGGATTTGTCGTTGAAGGTGGCCTTTCGGTGGCACGTCATTCCTTCGAAAGATTGAAGACGAGTGTTTCACATTCACCCATCCTCAGGCACTTCGATCGGTCGAAAGATTGATGGTACCGTCGGTTGTCCTTTCGCCATATTTCTTGTCTTTTACTTGTTCTTCTTCTCTTGGTAGCTCGTAAACTGGAAGGCCATACAAACAGTTCACAATGGTCACAATCTGTTCCCGGGTCGCGGCACCAGTTGTGGTGTTGGAAATCCCTCGTGAACTCTAGCTACAGATGTAGTTAGGATGTTCCCACAACAATACGTCTACTAGGATAGTAAACGATCGTTCGGGCGGACCTGAAGACCCCAGTTCTGCCCTTGCACCGGGACAAACTGGACCTTGTACACTACTTATATAGGCCAACCAGTAAAATAAGAACACGCTACTAGCACGAGCAAAGCTAGCAGGTGTTTTGAATCCTCGTGGTCCCAACAGCGGAAGGGTACCAGGCACGGGTAAGCCTTTACGAGATCACCGAATGTTCAACACTCGGCTGGAAGAAATAAAAGGGAGGCAATTCAAGCACTCCCAGTCGTGCAAATAGGCAACAATAAGCCGTAACGTAAAACCTCCCGATAAAAATCGGCCAATACACAAAGTCTCTTGGCCTTGCCGGATGAACCCTCGCTACAGAGCTTCGAGTTCACCGACAGGCATAACACACTCAAACAAGCTTGACCTGACGCTTACCTTGGAGCCGGACGTCGCTCTGTGTGCTTGAGTGGAAATTCTGTTCTGTATTTAAGCTTACCCTTTCGGGTCTATTCCTAATAAGAAGTCCTAATCAAGTATACAAATATCAAGTGAACAATGATCCGTTATGGATCTTCTTGCATGCCAAGCGTCGTCTGCACCGTCGCATGAGCATCTTTAACGGTCCGCGCCTTGTCCCAGACGGTGAACGTGTCTTCCAAAGGTCGCTGAGTCTTCCGCGAACTCATCCCAACCGCCACTGAGGGATCGTACCGTAGATGGTCCGCTGTATGCGAATCCGGCCAGTCCATTATTAATAATAAGGACAGCCTGGATTCAGTGACATAGGGCCGTATCCGATACTAGTTGAAAACTCGGAGGTGACGCCGTCGAGTCCCTTGCACTTTAGCGTCTCCGTACATCACCTGACCGAGGGTTCATCGCTTGAACAACTTGGGCGGTGTCACGTCTTTGTCGACGGGTGATAATCCGCAACTTCGGAGAGATCACTACATCACATCTCACCAACCCATGCGCTTGGTTCGGACCAAGCAATCTGATTAGAAGGGTTTACCCCAATTTAAATTTTTAAGTACGAAAACTACCATACAAATTCATATCTAGGTCAAGAGCTGCGTACATTATGTAGGAGGCCTCTGAATCGCCCTGCCACCTACATCAAGACCATCTAGATCGCCCTCCTACCGCCTACACAGCCCACAGTTTCCGTAGCGCCTCCACTGTTGCTGTGCGGAGAGTTTAACGTTGCGAGTCCTTGGTCCATTTTTGGTGTCACATCCTAGACCAAGCTGGTACTAAACCGGTCCCAAGTGATGTATCATGTCTAGCCTAAATTTGGGTTTGGTTCTTGCTTTAGGAGATTTTTGGAAGTCTTTCAATAGAAATGCAATGTCATCAACCAATGGTTGGCTTTGGGCGACCTTGCTACCTTGTACCAAATATCCCGAAGTATGACGTGTCACACTTCATGTTACCAGGGGTACACCTAGGGCTCCGTACCCCGTTACACCGATCAATCCCACTTTTTAGGAAGTTTCAGATTTTGCAGAGTGAATAACAGGCAGCTTAATACATGTACTACCTCCGCTCTGAAAAAGATAACCATTTCAAATTATATTACAGCCTACCCAACAAAATACCCCCTCGATGCCGATCACTTTTTGGATTTCGAATCTCCCGCGCTTTCCCGACCAGACTGGCTCCCGCTCCCAGCTTTCATTTTAAAAGCTGGCACCTGGGGGAGATCACAGACAGTGAGCGCCAGGCCGTCTGGGAGTCCTTACTGCTTCGCAGCGTGGGAGGAGTGCTCAAACATGGAGAGATCGTTCGGGTTGCAGCGTACTTCCGTGTGGGCCGCCAAGTTGTCGAACGAATTTGGAGGCGTGGAATCAATTCGATGGGAGGTCGAGTAGCAGCCGTGGTCAAGTCAAGGAAGAGCGCATGTGGTAGGAAGAAGGTCAATCGAGCTGAGCTGTGCGAGAGAATCGCTGCTTCAGCGCGCGTCCAACATGAGCTGCTACCTGGTTCAGCAGCTGATCAAGGAAGGCTACATACGGCGTGCGCTCAGACAGACCCGTCCACTACTTACACCCACGCACAAGTTGGTGCGCCTCCGGTTTTGTCTGGACCACGTTCGACCTAACGGAAGGGGGGATTACGTGTTTGATCCAATGTTTGACGTCGTGCATATTGACGAGAAGTGGTTCTACATTAAGAAGATTGGGCAGAGTATTTACTTACTGAATGAAGTACCGCTCGAGGATCCTCCTGTTCAGTTCGTGCAGAGCAAACGCTATATCATGAAGGTGATGTTTTTGTGTGCTGTTGCGCGACCCCGAGGAAACGGGGATGGCAGTCTCTGGCCTGTTGTAGAGCGCTACATCACTCAAAGGGCAAGTGTGAATCGCCCTGCTGGCGTGGAAGAACTGCGACCTGTCTCAATAACAAGGGATATTTCACGTCAGATGCTGGTGAACGACATAATTCCTGCTATCAAAGCAAAGTGGCCGCAAGAGCAGAAGGGTGTTGCCATTCGCATCCAACAAGATAACGCTCGGCCCCACGTCCAAGAGGATGATGACTACGTTAACGCGGCAGGGTCCTCGGATGGCTGGAACATCGCGCTGCGGAACCAGCCTGCACAAAGTCCTGATTTCAACTGCCTAGACTTGGGCTTTTTTGCAAGCACTCAATCGCTGCAGTCGCAGACAATACCACGAACACCCCAAGGCCTCATCAGGGAAGTGGAGAAAGCTTTTGGAAAAACTACAGCGGACATGCTTACCAAAACGTTCTTGACTCTGCAACACGTCATGGAGCAGGTTATGAACTGCAAAGGTGATAATCATTACCGTCTCGGACACTTGCACAAGGACAAGCAAGTACGAGCTGGCACTCTCCCTACGTCACTGCCTTGTGACGCTATCTCACTCGCCAATGCTAACGCGTACATGCTGCTTCTTGCAGCGAGCAGCCCCCCACCCACCGCCTACCGCTGAAGTTCCAGAAGCCCCAATGAGCGCCCCTTCAGAATGTGGCGATGTAGTTGCCGTCTTAGATCCGTTTTTGTATCTGTAGTTGCTCGGCGGAGCATGAACGCCTGTGCCTTGCTTAGTTTCTCACTGCCAGCTCTCGGTCATAAAGCTAGCTAGCCAGCCTCTCAGAAATTAATAAACGCTCAAATGAACGAGGCGGAGCGCTGCGCAAAAAAAAAACAAATGGTTATCTTTTTCCGAGCGGAGGTAGTAATAAGTTGCCCGTTTCAATGCTTGCGCAGAAAAATGCCATATGTTGTGCCAGCAATATTCTTGTGGTATACCGGTACCGGTAATAAAAATCTCTTTTGCCAACCCGTCGACACGTGCACAGGCAGTCTCTAATCTGCGGCAAACGTTGCGATCGCTTTTTCATACGTCGAAGTATCTTTCTATCATTATCGGAAATGTCTAAGAGTCTTAACGTGGGGCTTTTCGGCTGTGGCACCGTGGGTGCAGGTGTGTTTGACCTGCTGCACAGCCCCGTGCGTCGTCAGAAGTTCATGGCCATGGGCGTGAACGCGCTGGTGTCCAAGATCTGCGTGCAGAACCTGAGCAAGGATCGCGGACTTAAGCACTTCTCGGCGTCGGAGACCACGTTCACCAGCAAATACAGCGACATCCTTGAGGACAAGAACATCAACTGCATTGTGGAGCTCATGGGCGGCGTGGATGACGCCAAGGACGTGGTCTTCGGCGCCATTAAGGCCGGCAAGCACGTCATCACGGCCAACAAGGCGCTCGTGGCCAACTTCATGCCCGAGATCGTGCAGCTGCTGCAGGACCACCCGGAAGTTCGCTTCGGGTATGAGGCCGCAGTGGCTGGTGGCATCCCCATCATCCACACGCTGCAAAACGCCTACAACTCCGACACCATCACGGAGATTGCCGGCATTATGAACGGCACCACCAACTACATGTTGTCCAAGATGGAGGCCGAGGGCGTCGCTTACGACGCTGTGCTGAAGGAGGCACAAGATCTGGGCTATGCGGAGGCCAACCCCAGCGCCGACGTGGACGGATTCGATGTTCAGTCGAAGATCGCCATCTTGGCGAAGCTCGGCTTCGGTGGAATTGTCAAGCCTTCGGACATCCCGACGGTGGGCATCTCTCGTGTCTCTGCGGCCGACTTTGAATACGCCAAGATGATGGACAGCACGATTAAGTTGCTCGGTGTGGCCAAGCAACTCACGCCAGCGGATGAGGGGACCGGCAAGCCTCAGGAGGTGACGGTGTATGTGTCGCCTGTTGTGGTCAAGCGTAGCAACGTCATCGCCAGCATCGGCGGCGCTACGAACCTCGTGAACGTGCGTTCGGACAACTTGGTCAGCAGCGCGTACGTCGGTCCGGGCGCTGGACGCTTCCCCACGGCCAACTCAGTGATGAACGACATCATCCAGTTGGCTCACGGCGACGCCCCACTGGACCCGTTCAAGGCCTCGGTGCCTCTCACACTGCAGCCAGACTATGAGGCTCACTTCTACGTGCGTCTCACTATCACCGACGGTCTGGGCGTCATCCGCCACGTCGGTCAATTCGCTGAGGAGAGCGGCGTTTCCATCTACTCGATCCTGCAGGCGCCGATCGTCGACCGTGCGAACGTGCAGTTCGTTGTCACCACGGAGACGTCGCTACTGTCCAAGGTGCGCTCGATGTGCCAGAAACTCGCTGCTTTGCCCTTTGTGCAGGAGGAGCCTCTGTACCTGCCGATCATGAAGTAAAAACGCTGACGAGAGTGTGGCCGTAACCAGTGGACACTAAATTGCCGATTCATCAATACATGTGTGCCAATGGGTGGGCTTATTCAACGCGTTAGCTCTTCACAGAATAAAATGATGTTGCACACTTATACAGTAGACAGCCTGCTGCTTCAACTGGCGTCGTAGCGCACATTGTCCGGTCCGGCAAAGGAGAACGCTGGCCTTCCCCTCCAGATCATCGTGTCGGAGTGCTCGCGGTCGGTGTTTCGGTAACGGGCACAGATGGAAGACAAGGAGTTGATGTAGTGGTTCCGTTCGGCCGGGTTCCCGACGTCCTCGGGTTTACCGCCACCTTCAGCAGACCATTCGTCGTCGGGGATAACGGACTGGTAACTGGTCGAATAGCCCCGTCCGTACGAGTCGGTGCTGAAGCGTTCCATGCTGCAATTGACGCTCGTTGTAGTAGTCTCCATCATGGAAACACCACTCCGCTCGACCCACTTGGCGAGTTCTTCGTCTTGGTCGAATCCGCCGCAATTTCCGTGCAATGCAGCTCGAATGACCGTATTCCACTGCTCGTAGACTGCAGCGTTGGGTGCTCGGAACCACACGCGCTTCGACCGCCAGCCGTACTCGATGCCGATCATAAGCTTGCGTGACTCTTTCGCCTTTGTCGCCAACATGCGCACAGGGTGCATCCGTCGATCGAGAGAGATCGCAAGTGCAGAGCTGCCAAGGCATCCCTGACGACGACGCCTGACACACACCACCGCTGAGTATTGCTTGAATTGTTCCGACGATAACTCACTCGAGCAGATCAGTTGTACGTGCACCTGGCGCCTGAAAGGCCGCAAGTAAATACATGTAGTAGTATTAACCTTAAGTGTGGTATAACTTCAAGTATTTTGAAAATGACCATTTGTCTTCCATGCAAAACCTTACCAAAACACTTCACAAACTCGCATCTTCATTGCACTAGCCAACGTCACAAACGACGGAGCATCGAGACAAAAGTCGTCCATGTAGAGACTCGCTTCATTGTTCGGTATGGTGGTCACAGTGGCGCGAGCTCGTGGATTGATCGGCTGGAGCGGGCCGCCACCGCTGATCTTTCCATCCCGAACTTTGGATCCCCGAGGTTGCCTGTCTCGGTGGGTCGACTGTGACGATGGGGAGAGCATTCTTGGCACCTTGATCTCTAATTCGACAATGAGAGAAGGAAATGGAAATCCAATCACAAGCAAGGTTCGATCACTCCACGGCGCTACTAAAAGTAAATGCAACATCACGCATGCGTCGGGTCAAGGCGCCACCACACATCGCAGCCTTGAAACGTCCTCACTTCGAGTCAAATTAGCGTTTTGGAGCAATTCTTGTCCTCACTGTTCTCGGTGTCCTCTTCCATTGCATAAAAATTTAGAGGAGATCGACGTGGCGAATCGTCAGTGAAATGCGCGTGCCCACTTCGATGTTGTCGACGCTGTGTAAGTAGCGCGTGTAGGCTTCTCCCGTGAACAGCAAGAGACTACGACGTTCCAGCTGGAAATCAAAGTTCTGCACAATCTCATTGGTAGGCGCCGCCTCTGAAACGCTCTGATTGTCGACTGATGCCAAAGCACGATGCGGCTCAAACGTCACTCGGCACTCAGCGCCAGTGCTGATAATGGACACCAGAGGGAAATACGCAGGCCCGTCCTCATGTGGTAGAATGCAGTCCCCCACACCATATTCTGTGCATCAGCAAGTATGCAACTGGTTGGTCTTAACGACATGTTTGGGACTGTGGGGGCAGCTTACGTACCGTTGATGAGTGCGTGGTTGGGCTTCTTTTCTTCACTGAAGATGCCAGTATCCAGTAGTGTCTGGCTGATCTGTTGTAGCCATTCAGGGAGGGGATTAGGCTCGAATGGGACCTTGACTTCCCCTCCCCACATTTGCAGACGACGGTGTTTTAGCTTGACCCAGAGATCGTTGTCATGCGGAACAGCGTACACTCGCTCTACAATGGCCGCCTCCTCGTCCTGCGTGATCCAGTTGGGTATGTAATACACTCCGGAAATCGGTCCTTTGCGGAACTCCTCGATATTAATTTTTGATCTGGACAAGGAGCAAGAGATTTACTGTTAACAATGAAACATGCACAGTTTTCTAGTGGCTCGCCGAATACTTCTCACCTCTTCGCCCACACACTCAGAGTTGCTTGTTGCCATTGCGATACACGCTCTTCAATTTCCTGTGACTTGCCGGTGTCTTTTGACGCAGATTTTGTGTCGGTGTTTGGCTTGGATTGGGCTGCCTCTCGTACACGGCGGCGTTCCTCGCGCATCAGTTCACGGAAGTCCATACTGAAATGTTTAATTTGGTGATTGGGTAAAAATTGTGCTCTTCTTTGGGAAAATGTAGCCATAACGTTTTTTTCTGACACACCACGATATATTTATCGTTCCGACTTGTGGAGTTCATGCACAACTGAGACGACTGTGCCATGTTCTCGCTCGACGTTGTGCGATGGCGAAAGAATCAATCGGAGCAGGAAGCTGCGAGGTTGAAACAAGCTGAAAAGAATGGAGCATCACCGTCACAAGCTGTTCAGGCACGGCAGATCAAACGTATTTACGGGAAATCGATGTGAGTTGTTAAACAATGAAAGGTGGTTAATGCTTCTAGGACTGAACGTCCAGTGATTGTGTCAGAAAGGAGATGCACAAGTCGTATTTGGACCGCGTTGGCGACTGGATGAGGGAGGCCCCCGATCAGGATTGGGGCAAAGACTACGCCAAAGAGGATTATTCCAAGGCCTACCTGTGCGTCTACAGTAGTAGACAATGTCTACCTCGCGTTAACGGGACACTTGCAATCTGCTAACGGCAACTCATTTGTTGGATAGACCTCGTGTAAGAGCAAAGGAACTGGAGCACGGAGGAGCCGTCAAGAACGGGTATGTCGAATCTGCAACACAATATTTGTAGTTTATCATAAGTTTTTTTATTTCAATATTGTTGACTAGCTCGTACTCACCTCGAGCTATCTACAAAGGGGGCGGGAAGCTTATACGCCGTGCTAAATCTCCACACCATGAAATTGAAATGCCGCGTGAAAAGTATGCCGAACGGATCGTCAACTTCGAAAAGACTCGCGAGAAGCACAAAGAAATCCAACCACCAATGGCGTTCCTGAAGAACAAGCCATTGTCATGTGCCAAGTACTTTGTGGAAGATATAATCTGTGTTGACAACAACGCACGAAGCGAACACGAGAGCGAGCAATCTGATGCCTCGCGAGACTCGAAGCGAAGAACAACATGCGCGGCAGACTGCCCGCCATCTCCCGAGAGAGTCAACCAAGCGGACGAAGATGACAGCAGTGAAGATGAAGAAGGCTCAGCACGCAGAAGACAGAAAAGTGCCGTGTATGATCGTCTCTACTGGAACGCTCATGGTTCAAGAGCAACAGTGCTCGGTGGCACAGCAACTCCGGAGCCTCCAACGACAGCCGAGTACGTGGCTCACCCAAAATGGCGTCAACACAGTCCTGAGAAATGGGTCGGTGGCAGACCATTCACCAGCACCATCTTGTCAAGCAAGGCACATGCAGCGTCTCGCTCCAGTATCTCGGGGGCGCCTCACCCCAGGGCTGTGCTAGTTGACGATCCGTTTACTCCTGCCGGAACTACCAGCGCACCTCCCACCCCTGAAGTTCGCGCCTTGGTAAGGGACCTCGGTAGTAGATATTTTCTTTACAGCGCTTCACCCAGTAACTTAGACTTGCTGTGGTTTTGTCTACTACGCAGGAGCACGCTCGTCGTGTCAAAATGGCATTGGAAACCACCTTCAAGCCTGTCCAACACCACAGCAAAAAGTACTTCAACTCCATGTGGACAGAACGCAAAATCTACGTCTCCATCAACAACAACACCGACACTCGATCCCCCTCTGTATCATCACCGCATTTGCCTTCTCCCACACGTAAGACGAATGTCGGGCGTGAACTTCTCCAACAGATCCGTCAGCAGCACCAGCAACCTCCGTCCGTATCCAAATAGCAACTCGAACCAATCAAAAACTAACGTCTCCAAAAGACTGCGTCGCGGGAATGATAGTATTTTGGCTCTTGGCTCCTGCTTACAGCTACCAGCTTAATGAACTACAGTCTCAAGGGTTCAGCCCATAAGGAGGGAGATAGAGCTATCTAGTTGAAGGACAGCAGCTCCACCTCGAAGACGAGCGTGGCCTTGGGCGGGATCACAGGCGGGTAGCCGCGCTCGCCGTAGGCGTATTCGTGGGGGAGCGTGAGCTTGGCGACCTGACCCTTGCTCATCTTGGCGACGCCCTCATCCCAGCCGCGGATCACCTGGCCGGCGCCGAGCTGGAACTGGAAAGGACGGCCGCGGTCGCGGCTTGAGTCGAACTTGGAGCCGTCGGTTAGCGTGCCCACGTAGTGTACGGACACGGTCTGACCCGGCTTGGGGAAGTTGGTGCCGTCGCTATGGAATCGAAAACATTAGATACCGTATAATTGGATTGAGCTTGAGCAGCATTGGGGATGGAAATGCTCGTACCCGGCCTTGATGGTGTCAATCTGGAAACCCATCGAGATGATATGATAGGTCTCTGGTGTCTGTTGTGCAAAGTGAGAGTGGGGGAAGCTCAACTTTTTTTACATGTAATTTTGGATAGCCTTATTGGTACTGTCCACCTTTTCAATGAAGGAATGTCACGCACTTATTGGTATGGGTTATATATTCATAAGATACGTTTTGGCGTTTTTGCTACCTTGATTGAATCAATTGCTGACAGATATAACTTTATAGTGTCAAATGCTTTTTTTCGCGTGGTCTACGTGAAAAACGAGTGGACTACGTAAAACACAGATACCATTACAACTGAATTGTGTAGTCCTGCTGAATGCGTTAAGGGACAAATTGTCACCCTTCCGCGCCAACTCAAGTTTTTCCGCGGCCTGGTTTGGAGAAATGTTATGCGTAGCAGCTGTCTTTGTGATGGCATCATAGTATTTTTTGCGCCGGAGATAGAAGCGAGCTTCTGTCGGGTCTTTCCGCCATTTAGACCCGAGCTTCTCATTTGCCTCCGAAATTGACATGTTTCCTGCAAGCCCCACAGAGTACTCTTTCCACAAGTCCACAACCGTCGAGATTGATCTGCTCAGCTTTGGATTACGAGGTTGAAGTGACTGCGGAGTTGCACATGATGTAAAGGGCGGCTGCGTTACTGCTGACTGCAGCGGATCATGACCTGAGGTGCTGTCTTCCCAGCTGATGACAAGCCGTTTGTTTGAGAGAGCCTTTAGTGTATCTATCCCCGCTGCTAGCGCATCCAGCTTGCCGTGTAGAGATTTTATTCCGTTCTTCAGCACGTCCGCAATTTGAGGCACTACAACTGCAAGCGATTTTGTTTCAGGCTGTGTAATCGCTGGTATCAACGAATAGAGTTCCTGATCAAAGGATGCGTACTCTACAGTGGAAAACAAACTGTGCTTCCACAATTGATGATTGGGATACTGCCGCCGCAGCACCACAGAGTCTTGGAGAAAGACCACTCGCATGTGACGGAGCATTTGAATGAAGGCAGCTCCAGCAATTTCACGCGTCGAGCTTTGAGCCAGTTGTTTAACTGCGGCCTCAACCTCAGGGTAAACCAATTGTTGTAACTCAGCGCTTGGAGTAGCAGAACCTCGCTGCAGCCAGTAGCCGCCACCCTTTGTCGGATATCCAGCCAAGGCTCGCATAGCCTTTTTAGGTAGGGATGTAAGATAGCATCCTTCCATCCGCGCTGCATTCCACCTCCCAAGACGCCGAATTTGTTCTTCACTAGCACCAAATGTTTCCGCCAATTTCGCCCCCGATCCTCGATTAGCATGTGTCCAAACGGTTGAATCGATCCCGCACGCTGCGAAAGCTCGCTTGATACGATTTAACTGGGTGTTGTACGAAATCTCCTTCGTTCTGTCACCACCATTAATGAGGTGGATATCGTACCACCTTTCGCGGCATGTAAAATCGGGAAATGGTTCACAATCAATTTGCCAGCGCCAAAAAAGATGGAGCGCTACAGCATTCAATGGGCACACATTCACGTTCTTACATCGCATGGCTGCCCCGTACTCGATGCGGCCATGCTGATTAGTTTTGCCTCGATTCATCATGATCACAAGTGGCGTGCATGTTTGCGATCCTTCATCCGGTAGCTCCAGTGTCAACATATCAGGGAATTCAATAAAGCGGCGACTCTCGCCCCGTGCAAGAAGTGCATGCCCCAAAAAGAAATCCACACGATCACGCAAAGAAACACCGTCGTTTTGAGACAACCAATAGTCAGTGAGTTGAACCATGTCTTCGACATTATATCCATCAAGAACGGTACCCAGCGCTCGATCTGCGTAGTTTTTTCGCTTGCGCTCAGTTTCCGACCGCTTCAGCGTGTCGAATAGGTCGTGATAGGTCTTCTAACGTGGATGTGGATGGCTATTTAGAAGTAGAGCCTGCTGCAACTTGTACAGATCTATCACAGCTTTGGCATAAGCTTCAACGCCAGCTAAACTGAGAGCTTTAGCATCACCAGCTTTGGTTTTCTGGCGCTTGTTACCACGAGGAATAACGTGCGTTTTCAAAAACGTAACTAGTTTCCCTTCTGTGACAATACAGCCATCCAAATACTTTTTACCTGCACACCACGTTTTAAACTCGGCTTGTTTTGGAGCGTACTGCTTAACGGTGTTGGAAGGGCGCGCAGCGGCGTGGTCTGTGATAATGTCTGTCACCACTTTATGAATTTCTTGAGAATTCGCAATATCATCACGCGTGTACTCGTCCATTTAGACGCTTCCAAACAATCTCGATGGGGGGGGGGCGCCTGCGAGTGCTCGCTGTCGATCAGAGACTGGTGAGTTGGCGAAAAGAATTGGTTGCTAGAGGTATTTTACTATAGGATTTATCTATAGAGATACAAAATTAAATACCTCAAGTATTTCGCAACTGCTTTGTCCAATACCTTCAGGCCTAGGGTTTCGATCGAAAGACTCGTCGGGAGATACCGGTAGGTCACTAATGGTTTGAGCACAATTGTGGTCCACATCGGATGTTTTCGTATGACCCTTCGCATGGCTTCAACATCAGCAGACGAGAAATGCTTTAAGCATCCTGTTTCCTTTATTGTTGCTCCTATTTTGCTTACGTTGGATTGAGGTAAAAATGTTGGTGGATCCGCGTTTTAGACGCTGACGGGCGGAGCCAGTGGCTGGGCATCCACGTCCGTGCGGATGACGCGAGGAGACGTGGCCGTGGTGGTAGTGGTCATGTTGCTGCCGGTGCCCGCTGGGTTCTTCTCGATGTCGTTGTTGATGGCATTTGGGTCCAAATTTACGCCCTCCTTTATGACAATATTGCGGTGGCGCACCAGCACAATGGTGAAAGCCAGCTAAAGATATAAGTATCCGATAAAAGACAAAGTGAGTACCGGTAAAAGCAAGCTCTAAGTAGCAGATGAAAGCTGGAAAAGGCACTCACGTAGCAGACGAACATGAAGAACGAGAAGACGGAGCCGGCCTCGTTGGAGTGCACGTTGGTGTGCTCGTCGCCCTTTGCACGTTCGATACGGGCCAGATAAGCGGCGCCCGCGAAGATGATTGATAGCGAGAACATCTGTAGAGACATCATCAGCACGACGCCAATAAGGAAGCCCACTGCCAGCGGGGTCTGGTGCTTGCGCATCACCATCGTGCCTCCGACCGACAGTGCCACGATGAGAATCATTGCCCAGACGCCCACAAAGCCCAGCGACTTGGAGTCGCTTTCCCCTTCGCCGTCATTGTTGACAGCCGCGACGATGGCAGCGATCGCGTACATGAAGCCGAAGAGCATCGTGACGAACCACAGGTAAGTAATCAGCATTTTCGGGTTATTGATGCACCTGCGTGCCTTGTTACTCGCGTCTTCCATTGCAGTGGGCATCTGAACACGAAGAAATGGACGAAATCAGAGGCTTTGCGAGGCAACAAACAAGCTCAACGACTCCGCCTACCTTGCTGGTTAGTTTTTGAAGAGTCTAGAGCTGCGTCGGGGCCAGGAACAGAGTTGCCTAATGAACTTCGGCCTTTTTCGGTTTGACTCTATAGCCTAAGCAGAATGTCGACGCTAAAAATATTCTCTCAGTCTCGATTAGAGAGAAGGTGCGCGATCAACGCGTCCCACGACGTCCCATGCCAACAACGAATGCGATCCTACAGTGAGTTATTCCGAGCAGATGTATATTGAGGCTCTAGATTCGTCGTTTCTAAACATTACCGGTAGTCTCTCATAATATCGAAATCGGATAAGAAGAAGGCCGAATGAAGCCCATCGCAGCAACGGCTTGTTGTCGCCCCACTATCTCACTTTTGAATTTGTAGCACTGGTCTTTATCCTTCCCCCCTAGATATTAAAGGCTATCGATTTATCGATTTAGTTATGGTACCAGAGCAATAGTGGAAGTCCAGACAAATAACGGCACCGTGCGGTGATCGGGTGTACGGTCCAATGGAGGTAACAATACAGGTTCGCCGGCGACGTCTTCCACTGAATGCACAGAACAATGCCGCGTCGAGGTCTTAACCAGCGGCTCATGTGCGCACCAGTCAAAATATCTCGGCATTAGTCGTTCTGGGTCTTTTCTCTCGTTGTGAAGTTCAGTGTGAACAGTCGATGAGCTCAAACCTCCACGACGTCGACGCCTGTCTCGCCAACCACCGCCACATCGATGTTTCGCGTTGTAACAAACTCTACAAACTCTACTACAGTACATGTATTACAAAGGGCTCAATTAGTGCCTGTCACGGTAGAGCTTGCAACGGAAGTTTCCTGGATGAAGAATGGTGATGAGCCTGTCGGTCACCTGCGTTCTAGGTCACTTTCAAAAGGCCCCCATCGTAACAAAGAGCCCTGGTTTTAATTCGACTAAGTGGGTGGAGCAGAGGCACCGAGTAAGGCTGTGGCGTCGTTGAAGTGTATATGTCGTGGCGCGTTCGATGCGGGGCCTGCAGCGAACCCTCTCGGAGAGGAAGACTCGGCGCTTCGTCGACCAGATGATTCACAAGTATAGCGACATACGGCTCACATCGACCACAAGAACAATGGCACGAAAGCGCCCGAGAATTGAAGCGAATGGCGTGCGCAAGCCTCCTGTTAACCAGGAGCACGATCGTGGCGATTATTCCGACGTGGCAGCCGAGCTATCGACCTCGTCATATTGTCGAACAGAGTCGGAGCGGAGCTCGGGGCTGCCGTCTACAATGCTGGACAGTGGACGCAGTCAAACGGCAAAAGGCCTCAGACGTCAACAGCAACAGGAGGAAGCGCAGACCAGTTGTTGGAGGATGGCTGAAGCTCCAACCGTTTCGGACGACGGCTTCACTTCATCGACAAGGTTAGCCAGGCCAATGGAGGACAACGACTGCGAATTTGATAATCAGGAGGACCAGGACAGTATGATTCCACGCAATGCCATCGATTCCAGCTTGGAGGCGTATACACAGCAAGAAATGGAGGAGATCCAAGAGCGCTCGAGTCTATCTGAGGGCGGCATCTCTCCGACACATCTCGAGTTAGCCCCAGCGTCGATTAATTCGGTGGAGGACCACATCGAAGAGAACACCCAGCTGTCAGAAGACTCTACGGAGTCTTCATCGACGTCATCGACCACTGAAACACTCCCTCGACTACGACCAACAGCTCCTGCGCATTGTGTCGTTCCCAACTGCTGTGACTACTTCACATCTCCCCACCCCCACTACCCAAATGAGGTAATTGGCAAAACGCAAAAAGTCGAGGAACCCTTAAACAGCGATCCCTCGCAAACGAGCCCCGCGGGTTTCGAAGCTCCCAATGAAACTACCACCAACGAAAGTGATGGTCACTCTGAGGGTCGCACCAACGACCAAACCAACAACTCTAGCAGGGGGAGTCAGGATGGCGAGTTTGAGATGTGGGACTACGTCTGCCCGCAACATGCTCGCCGCGGATACGCCAATGAGTGGGTCTGAGATAGACGATGACATTGAAGTAATTCACGCCTTGCGTGTATATTGTCGTTTACAGTGAGCTCCCAAGATTTTGCCAGTAGCAGGGATGCACACACATTAAGCTAAAGTTATTTTCGAGGCTGTGTTGTTACAACAGCTGCTAAAATAGCCGAGTAAAGGTATGTGTAAAATACTACCGGTACTTTGTCCTATTTTCTCATTTACCCCATTATTCAAAAACAAAGTCTTCTGAAATTTAAGAAACGAAGTGCACATGAAAAGACTAATAATAAAACTTGGAAGTTCAAAATCCAATAAAATTCCTGTAAGTTTTCTAATAACTATCCAAACTAGTAAAATCCGAAGTTAGAAGCAGTGCAGATGAAGGTATATCCAGGGAGGACAGCTAGAAGAGCTGTATGGACAGCCTCACTCAGATCAATACGTCCGCAAAAAGTTAGCAGCATACGCCGTGTGCACGAAGCTTCAATGACACCTTCTACCGTAGAGAAAAGGGAATGTAACGGGTCAGGTAAATTCGGTTAAAATCGAATTTGATTCGAATTACAACCGGTTAGACCCGGTCCAAAATTATCCGAATCAAACCGGATATAATTCGGTTCAAACCGGTTTGAAGGAGCCTTGAAACGCTACCGTGGTATCCCCCCCCCCGGCCATATCGATCGGGAGAGGTAAAATTCTCTCTTCAAGATGCACAGCCTGATCGGCTCGTCAAATTGACAATGTCTATAAAGCCTGCCAGTCTTCCACTGTGGCCGAATTGCCACATCGATCACACGCTGCGACTCACAGGCAGCGGCACCGCAGCGCTCCTTACACTACGTGAAAGAGTCTCTTGGTTCTCTCTGTGAGACGGAAACAAGGGGACCGCCGAGCTGCAACTACGAGCCGGACTACTCCTATACTATTTAGCGGCTACTACACAAACAACGCTGCCCACAGATATGGATGCCGACACAGCGTCAATAGACGCTGATACCACCTCCACTATCTCATCGACTGGATCTTTTGGCGGAGTACGCTTCCGCACCCGCAAAAACGAATCTGACGTCTACAACTACATCATGGAGCTCGATACTGGGCATTTTCAGTGTTTGGTGTGTGCGAGGGCAGGCGTCAATCAGATTTGGCGCACCCGTTCTACAACAAATTGGAGGGGTCATCTACTTAGCCATCATACCGATGTTTACAATCCCCAAGCCGAGTCCAGTCTTGGCGTATTTGGCCGTCGAACAAGATCCTGTACGGAAGCTGAGAGGATGTCTCCTGAGAATGCCTAAGTTTGCGACGACAAACTGGTGATATGGATTGTTGCGAATGCCTATCCGTTTGCTGTTGTAGACCAAGAGGAGTTTGTGACCTTCTGCAAAGCATTACAACCCGGGTATAATGTACCTTGCCAACGTACATTTCGCAAGAAAGTGTTACGGCAGTGGAAGACAGAGAAGGAAGCCGCTCGGGTCGAGATTCGGCGCGAGATTGCTGGCCGCCGTTGCAGTTTTACCACTGATATGTGGACGTCTCCCTCGAAAAGAGGTTATATGGTGATCACTATGAATTTTATCGACAGCAATTGGGAAATGCGCTCCGTTATTATTGCATTCAAACGGGTACAGTACCAGCACACGGGTAAACGTCTAGCTGAGCACTTTATTAGGGCTGTGAAGGACATGGATAGCGGGATCCTAAGCTCCATTTGGACGGTTACGGTCGATAACGCAACTAACAACACCGCTATGGTCGGTATGATAAACAGCAAATTACCGAGCGAGATTGCTAGACTGGCACGAGCGGCGTTTGAAGAAAATCTGCCGGTGTCGTTGCCGTCTCCTTCGGATACCTCGTCTCAGCAGGTTGTGCAGTTAAGTTGTACTGCACACGTCCTCCAACTTGCAGTGAAGGAAGGGCTCGCGAAGTGCCCACTGGTTGATTCAGCTATTGGCTACTTTCGCGATCTTGCCAAAAAAATATCGGAATCTACTAAACTAACAGAGGCGCTCCAGCAAGTATGTGCTGACATGCTGCACGAATTTATCACTCCGAAGCTGGATGTGGATACGAGGTGGAACAGTACGTGGATCATGCTGGATAGTCTTCTCAGAATGAAGCTGCCTTTGAACGAGCTGCTGCGGCGCATTGAGCTAAAGGAACCTCCCTATACTGGATTTACTATCCGTCCAGGGGATAGTCTCATTAAGGAGATAACGAAGGAGTCGTGGGCTGCAGTGAATACGCTATACACCTTTCTCGAACCTATTAAGGAGGCCACAGACATGTTATCAGCGTCAACATACCCCACGTTCGGTATTTTACTGCTTACGAACCACGTTATCAAGTTCCACGCAGTTGAAACAATTGAAAAATCTCAGGACGAGCATACCAAAAGTTTGCTGACGCAGTTAAAAGGAAGCTGGATGACTACGCACCAAAATTGGACAAGAGGAAGGCACGAATTGCAACTGTTCTAGATCCACGTGCTAAGCAGCATCTCGATGTTTTGGTCAAGAATGTGGCCAGCGTCAAACAAGAAGTTATTGATGAGTTTAACCAGCACTATCGCGCAGTTTTTCAAGCTCAGCAGCAATCTAATCGTGGACCCCCATCTGCACAAAAGAAAAAGGGCAAATCACTACGTCAACTTCTTGCGCGCAGCACCCACCAGGTTGCTAGTGCCGGTTATTTTGGGGTTGCTGAAGAAAGTCTCGATGCCCGTTCCGACAACAGCGCTTTCGTTGGTGAAGCGGCTCGAAATCGAGATGCGGCGAGCGGCGACGATGATTCCTTTGCTAAGGAACTCGATCGATGGTTAGCAGCCGATGGAATGAGTGAAATGACTGAAAGCAGGGATGTGTGCACCTGGTTTCGTGTCACGGGAGACGTCTACCCGCGCATCAAACGCATGGCTCAAGATTTCCTTGCGATAACTGCAACGTCAGTCCCAAGCGAAATAGCTTTTTCAGCTGCTGGAATTGCTCTGAGCAACCGCCGTGCTCGACTGGGTGATAATGCCGTGGAAGCCATTTGTGAGCTGAAGTCATTCTTTAAGTTCAACCAACGCAAGGAGCAGCACCCTTCCGATACACACGAGTAGACCCATTCCTTTGAGGTGCTTGAGGTCTAACGAAGATCAAAGAAAGTCGTTTACGAAATTGCGAAATGCAATCCTCAACGTTTAGGATTAGAAGATACGTACGGCACTTGTTACCATGGTGGTGCTGGAATTGATGTCGCTCGTGTATCACCGGGCTGTGTGCATCAGTGGAGCTGCTTCACAATGCAAAAAAGTCGTTAGTAAACGGTTATTGTAGCAGCCGCCGCTTCCTAATTTCGGCGTGGCTGTGTGGAAGACCAGTCGTCTGTCGCTTACCTCTAAGCTCAGCATTGGCAACCACGGTCTCGTCATTGTCGAACACGATGGCAACTGCAAAAAGCTGCCAGGCAGTAGGGCCGCCCGTCTTCATGCGAAGGCAAATGTCCACTGGCCATCCGTCGCGTCCTGGCAGCACAAAGTACGTGTCTCCCACTTTCCACATCGGAGCTCGCCACCGAAGATCGTCCCAAGGTCGAGAGGGCCACAGACAGTAGTTCCACCGCAAGAAACCATCAAGCTCGAAGAAGGAGAGGTATCCGACGAGCTCTCCTTCGACAAGGGGTGAGGACATGAACTGGTTGGGGAAAGCTAGACCGCAACAGACGTACCAACACACGTGACCTCCACGAGCTCGAGCATCGTTAGCCAGTCGACGAGTTACTTCGAGATCAGCGCACGCTAACGGCAGGAGAGGCACATAGTCGGCTACTTGAGGTGGAGAATAGGCGGGAGAGAAGAATTCCGAGTGATTCGCAGCCAATTTGATGCGAAAAGTGGGTGCTAAGCGCTGTAGGAACCGCGGTTGTTCGTGCCCAACACGCGCTCCCAATGTTTGTCGTCATTTGCACGGTGACATCAGCTGACGGGAAGGAATTAGGCCGCCCACACACTAAGTACGGAGCAACCGAGACTCGCCGAAATCTGCCACTTTCAGCATCTCCTGTTCGGAATCAAAGATGCAATTCAGCGGCTTAAGATCTCGGTGCACAATGGGCACTGGCAAGCCATGAAGAAGAGGTACGTGCGTTCGTTGCTCTTCTTGCTGCTATTGTTGCTACTGCTACTTTCACCCACCGACGGCTGTGGATTGCTGGTGGAATACCTGTTATTAGAGCTCATAGACGACGCGTAGGACTCGAGGATGCTGCGCACGTACAGCTCCTGATCGAGACTCGGACGGCTCTCCTGTTTGCTTCCACTTCGTCTTCTCTTTGCTCTCCTGTTTGCTTCCACTTCGTCTTCTCTTTGCTCTCATAGCCGTCACTCGTTTCCACCACTTGACGCCGCGGCTGGAGCTGCTGGCGCTCGCGCTGCTGCTGGTGCTCGTCATCTCACTGGCTGTGCTGGCGTTGCTATTGGCCGACATGTCGAAGGCCATGGGCAGCTCCGGCACCACGAAGGACTCGGAGGAACCCGTGGGGAAGTCGCTGCTGGTGCGCGCGTCCAGTAGCAGCAGCGGCGGCTTCTTGCGCCGCTTGTCAGGTGCTGCGATGGAGGCCATGGGGCATGTGACGCGACAGCTGCTGGCGGCGTGGACAGACCAAGTTCAGATGCACAATTGGCGCCGACGCACGCAGGAAGAGCCGCGCTTTCGAATGAGCCGACACCGAGACGTGTACGGCGCGTTCTGCACGAGGCCCGCAACGTCCAAGAGCAGCCTCGCTTGGGTAAACACTCGCAGGGGCAGTTCGTACACGCCTGGACCCAAGGTTTCTCCCACCCGAACCCTCAGATACACAGCTTGCTCTCTCATGGCTTTTGCACTCACTCCCGTACGTTCCAACGTCTCCATGACTATATCCGAATTCGCATCTTCCACAGTCCCTACTACGAAAGCTTCCACTTTGATATTATGAGGAGGAACGAACCTCGTATCCACCGCAACGCGAGCTCTTGGACCGTGACCTAATGGTAGCAACCAGTTACTGGTGTATGTTGTCAGTAGGAACGGCACATTGGATCTCAGTCTCAACTGTACATCCGTCACTTCATCCCTCGCTGCTGTCAGTCGGACACCTTCAGGAAGTTCCACACGAGCAGTCGAAGACGCCCAAGTCACCCGTCGATTTCCTGATCGGTTGGCTGTTTGGTCTCCACTTTGTGGCGCTTCGTTCACTTGAGCTGCTTGATTCTTCTCCGTCTCTTCATCGAAAGGTTCGTCATCCTCCATATCTGCACTTGGATCTGCACTTTTCACACTTTTAGACATGGCAGGAGCGAACTGTGTCAATAGCCACATGCTCTATGTGGACGGTAAAGAGGGCCCACTTAGAGAAGCGTCCACCACGTCAAACGAGAAGCTTGTGGACCGTGGAGCGACGTTTAGACTGGGATCCTGGTACGGTAATTGCCTTGCAAAGTCGTCAAAAGACTCGGTACGACCAGAAGGACCCCTTTCCTGCTTTAATGTTGCTCTTGTTGCTCCAATTGGTCAAAAGATGAGGAAGAACTCATGGATTCGTCATTTGACATGGACACATCGTCGTCTGCGTGGTCGTCTGGAGGAGCGAATCCGTTCGTCGACACTTCCTTGTCTTCTGAAGCCCCCACTCTGCTGCTGAGCGCGTGGAGAGCCGTCGCCAGACCTCGTGTCGCCCACGGACGCCATCAGATGAACGGTACGGGTACATGTATTACTGAGCACAGTACCTCTAAAATCACATGCAACCGAGTGTGATAGACAGTCGATAATTCGCTAAAATAGTGTTTGGTTCTACCCAATTGCTAACGTTTCATTACCTCTAGCAAAACATATCACTACTAAACGCATCATACAACAAAATCGTTTTGGTGTGAAACTTGTAGACATTAATAACCGGTTTAATCGGATTTGACTCGGATTGACCCGGTCCAAACTCGGTTTAATCCGGTTGTGTGAAAAAGGGCAGCCCGAAATCCTGTTGAAACCGGTTTACATTTTCTTAGAAATTCTACGGCGTTTCGATGCCAAGTTTTTCTGCTATTAGATTTTATTCGAGATTAATTTGCTGTCGATGTAACGGGGTACGAGACCCTAAGTGTACCCCTGGTTGCATGAGGGGTGACACATCACACTTCGGGATACCTGGTACATGGTATAAGGGCTGTCAGAGGCTAATCATTGGCTGATGACATAGCTTTACTATAGGTGACTTTTATTTTGTGTATTTAACTCAAGCTTAGTCTACCTGTAGATACATTCCGTTTACAACTTACCTTAAACTGGTCACTTCTCTCCCTTCGACAAAAGAAACCTATAAACTACTGTTCACTGAGAGTTTGTATACTCTCGGAAGCCGACTTCCTCAAGCGCAAAGTGCTGTGACCCCGTCAGCCTTAATAGCATTTGTAGTCAATCCACGCCAGCGCGGGTAGACTACATGGATCTCTCTGAAGCTCGTGGCCATGGGTAAGAACGACTTCTCCCATCTGAACGACTCACAGCTCGAGTCGGTTCGGAATATGGCTGGCATCTTCGGGATGGAGGCTTTGCAAAGCCCGGTGGCGTCAACACCGGTCGAGCGGCTCGAGCGTGTCAATCCGTTTGACGCCTACAAGCGAGGGCTCATCGCACATTTGCAGGAAAACCTGCAAACTCCGGTGGCGTAAACAAGGCCGCCACACCCGAAGCCAATGCGGCTGAAGGTGAGGTCGTATGAAGAGAAGGAAGGTGAGAACCACTTCTGGGTTCGAGACGTAGAGCTCGCGATGAGCACAGCTCTGATCTTGACTGCGCAACTCCGTGTTGGTTTTGCGCCTTAAACCTAAGCGGTCGTGCTAAGAAATGGATGTACACGCAGGAAACGACATCGCCTGGATGTTTCACATCCTGGGCTCAGCTGTGCGAACAGCTCCGAGCAGCGTTCCTCCCGGCGAGCCACGAATACCGACAGTGTTCACGCTTTCTCTCATGTAAGCAAGGAAGGCGCGAGCTGCACGAGTACATCCAAGAGATGGGGGGGGTCACGGCGTCTCTAGTCGGCAACCCACTCAACGAACACATCAAAGTGACTCTGTTCATGGGCGGACTTCGAGTGGGACCGGAGCGCACTCAGCTGTTTTGGGTGCAGTCAAGCACCCTCGAAGAGGCGATTCAAGTGGCTCTTCAAGAAGAATATAGCCATCACCAGGCCCGTAAGCCGGCCTCAGCGTGGACAGGGAATTCTGCATCGAATCCCGGCTGGGCCAACCCCACCGGACTGGTTCCCATGCCGCCGAATAGCGCGACAATTTCTGCTTCAGCTGCGGGAAGCTGGGACACTTCAAGCGCGACTGCCCCGCGGAGAGACATTGCGGGTGGCCTTTTCCCAAGCCCGTCCTTAAGGGTCGCTGGTAGAAGTCAGGATCCCGGGGTCAGGGGAACGCCAGAGACCGGTAGGAGTCGCCCATACCATAACTGAAGAGGAAGACGCGGGGTGATCTTTCTGTGTGTACCATAGCTCCACACGAGACATCGAGTGCCTCGTATGTCGACATCACGACACCCCTGACGTGGGTAACGAAGTTCCACGTCGCGGCGGCGGCGGCATGGTCGACGTCACTTCAAGCGACTCGGAGCACAGGGCCCTGCCTCCTCCGACACGGCCGGTGGAAGAGTGTTATCACCTTTTCGATGGCGAGACCGGTTAACCCGTCAAGGCATCTGGTACCCCCTTGTAACCGTTGCCAGAGGTTGCAGAGATACTGAACCTCAAGGAAATGACGGCCTGGTCTCTCCTGGCCAACCACAAGGATGAAAAGATTGCCAAGATGGCGCTCATAAAATCAGAGGCCACTCGGGAACAGCTTAGCCTTCTCAGTCTTGGACGGGGATAGCCTAGAGGAGTTGAGTAAGCAGCGTCTAGTACGCTTGGGCTCTGAGATCCTTAAGAACAAGGAACCGGTGTATCCTTTGGTGACGGATTATGTGGACATGGTGAGTAAGCACCCACCGACCTAGCGCTCGCCAGATCGAGGCCTACGGCATGAGATCGATCTCGTGCCTGACACAAAGTACTGCTTCACGCGACAATGACCGCTCCTACGCAAATAGTGCGAGGTCATTGATGCCTTTTTCGTTGCGAAATCGAAGGCAGGCATGGTGCGGGAGTCAAAGTCCCCGCACTCGACGCCGACTTTTTGCGTTCGGGAGCCGAACGGGAAGTGGCGTCTGGCTCATGCTTATAACACGCTGAACAACGTGACGGTGCCAACCAAGACGCCAATTTCACGAAAGGATGTGCTGCTGAACAACATGACCGGATGCGTGCTGTACAGTGCGCTGAATTTATAACTATCAGATCCTGATGGGCAAGAGCGACATCCCGCTCACCGCGGTGAGTACTCCAAGCAGTATCAGGCTATGATAGTTGCTCGTCATGCCGCAGGACTTGTCTAACACCCCGGCGACATTCAACAGCCTGCGATGCAATTGTTCAGGCCATTGTGTGCCTTCGTACAAACGTACTTCGACGATATCTTCGTCCAAAGCCGTGCTGAGGGAGGCAAGACGGCCATAAAGGTGCGTATGGGACACCTCCGTCAAGTGCTGGACGTGATGAGAGCAAACAAGCTATACGCCAACATCAACAAGTGCGCCTTCGCATCACCAGA